ACCCTGGTCTGGTGCCTGAGTTTCAGGGCAGGTCGATCTTATGAGGGCCTGAAAATGGCCCTCCGTTTCAGGCTGAAAAGACTCAGGGCCTGGAATGCCCTGTTTTTAGGCTGAAACGACACAGGGCCTGTAGGCCCTTGTTTTCAGGCTTCCAGGCTGAAACGACACAGGGCCTGTAGGCCCTTGTTTTCAGGCTTTTAGGCTGAAAACGACACAGGGCCTGTAGGCCCTTGTTTTCAGGCTCTTAGGCTGAAAACAACACAGGGCCTGAAAATGGCCCTCGTTTCAGGCGCAGCATGTTTCAGGTGCAGCATGTAACACACTACCTCCTTGATCTCTGCGTCTTTTGTCTGTAAACCTCCCTCCCCTTCTAATCCTTGAAGGCTATAAGAAGAGCTCGTTTCTATTTTCTACTACTATTTGGTACTATTTGGTACTATTTGGCAAATTGGCACTATGGACTTTATGGACGAGAAAACTGACAGAGCAGAGTCTTGTCGTGAGGGGGAGGAGTCATGGTCTTCAGTCTCTTCACCCATCTCATTGGCAGTATGTGAAATCCAGTGCAGATGTGAAATCGCCGAATCGGTCGACTTCACAGCGACCCTCAGACCCTAGAAATTTCGGAATAAGAAGAGAGCCTTCTTCTACAGAGAGACCGACTGCTGAGGGGGAACAAGATAAGCTGATAGCCTAATGCTATCCTTTTAAGGACATCCGTTAATATTGGCATGGCCGACCTGCTGGTATATTCCAATAATCGTGCGGCAAGTTCTTTTCTTTTTTTCTTTTTAACAAAATACTGCCGCAAGTTGGTTTGCCTGGTTATGGCATTTCATGGTTCCGGGAGTAGTTGCTGTAGTTGCTGTAGAGTAATTTCAGAAGTTGGCGCAACCAGATACACGTTTGTGTACCTGGTAGCGCACAGGTGGTACCAGGTTCAAGCTGTAACCTGGTGCAAGTTGGTGTACCTGGTCTAAGTTGGTGTACCTGGTAACACACAGGCGGTACCAGGTACGAGTTGATGCACCTGGTAACACAGAAGTGGTAACCTGGTACAAATTGGTTTACCTGGTAATGGCACTGGATGGTTCAAGGACTAGTTGTTGCTGCACTTGGTGCAAGTTGGTGAATTCAGGTACAAGTTGGTGTGCGTGGTAACTCGCAGCTGGCACCAGGTAACTCTGTAACCTGTATATAACTTAAGTTGGCGTACCTGGTAACACACAGGTGGGCCCAGGTGCAAATTTGTAACCTGGAGTAAGTTGTTGTACCAGGTCCAAGTTGGTGTACCTTGTAAGACAGAGGTGCTGACCTAGTACAAATTGATGTAATATCTGGTAACGCACAGGTACCAGCCTGGTGCAAGTTGGTGTACCTGGTAACACAGGTCCAAGTTGGTGTACCTGGTAAAGACAGAGGTGCTGACCTGGTGCAAATTGATGTACCTGTTAAGCCACAGGTGCCAACCTGGTACAAGTTGGTGTACCTGGTAACTCACAGGTGGGTAAACCTGGTACAAGTTGGCGCAATCAGGTACTAGTTGCTGTACCAGGTTGTGCGCAACTCTTACCCCGTAACACACAGGTGTTCTCCTGGTATGCCTTGTATGCATGCCCATGGATAGTCGAGGAGTGGTTGCTGTACCCGGTACACGTTGGTCAGTGCCACTCTCCTGTTGCTTCATTTTTCTCCAGCACGATTTGAAGAAAGCAGACAAGGTCTATTTCACTCCCCCTAGCAGGCCGCCGCAGTGTCTTCACCCCCCCCCAACCCCCCCCAACCCCCCCCCCAAAAAAAAAAAATTGAGAAAAAGAAAAAAAAGCCCTTGATCGGATCCCTCTTTGCCAGCTTATGCGTGTTGTCTCCCTTTGTGTTTCCTTTTTTTTTTACTATTTCACTATATCTTTTTTTTTGGTACTTAAACTTTGAAATCCTTTCGTAGTGTTTTTACTATTTTACTATTTTTCGTAATTAAAATTTGAATTTTGAAATGATGCAAAGTTATTCGGAACTTATTCCATATAAGGTGGCGAAAGATCCACCCACAGCCTCAGTCCCTGCACACCAGACATCCCAAGCATGTAAGATGGGATGATGAGTGACGCGGCGTTTGAGCATGCATGCACTCTAATTCAGACATAATTCTGCCACTCGGTATTTTTTTATGCGGATTTGATGATCATGATGTAATCAATGCTCTCAACAATGAAGTTGAATAAACACTGACAATTTCCAGTGAGATGGCTGACAAACTCAGCATGAAAATCCACGTAAAAAACCCACTTTTTTTTTTTCTTTTTTTTTTTTTTTAATTAAACTGATCAGAACAGATACTACACTTGATCTTAGCCAAAAGGCCGAGAAAGGTATGCCCTTTTTTTTTTTTTTTTTTTTTTGTTGATAACTTTGATTTGATTCGATTTCACCTGTCGCTTCTTCCTATTTTCATGCCTCTGCATTTTTATAAAGTCACCTATGCTCAAGAACTGAGCCTATCAGGATCTCCAAGCATGCGCGGTGGGATGGCCGTTCTTCGACTCGGGCGTGATTTCGCAATCCGAGGACTGCCGCTCCTTCTGATGGCTTTTGCCACTCTCTTTCAAGTCACAGACTGAATCTCTGAGCAGATCTTTTTCTTTTTGCGCGACGAAGGTGGGTCACCATGACGGTAATGCCGTGCTCTCTTGTTTGCCTGATGCATTTGCGAATTCTGCTGACGAAATCATTTAAATTTATTTTATCAATTTTTATGCTGTTAGAATTTGATTGCATCTGGGCTGAAAGTTGTGCCAAATACAGCTATATTGATCGGGCGTTCTATTCAGGTGAAGACGGTAGATATGCCTATTTGCCTACGGATTGGCTGACAGTGTGTTGAAAGTGCAATCGACAGGGAGTGCAAATGCGCATCTGCCAAATGCCAGGAAAGATCGACAGATTAATATAAAAAAATGTGTCCTTTGTCTCTCAAAGGACAGATCCACATAATACGGCGAAAGGGGTGCAACACCACCTTTAAAAAAAAAAAAAAAAAAAAAAAAAACTGTGTCGCTAGCTGGGAATACCCTAGGCTTGCAGTGTTTACCTTGCAAGTACGAGCATGGGAGTTGAGCTGTCTGGGATTCGAACCGGTACCGATTGACCGTAGGAAGCGTGGTGTTTCTGGTACTGGTACTGGGACCGGCACCGATTGAGCGGCAGGAAGCCGGGTTTGTGAGCACTTTTCAGTCCAGGTAATAAATACTCACACTAGGCTTGAACCGCTTACCTTGCAAGTACGAGCATGGGAAGTTGAGCTGTCTGGCGAGGAAGGGAGCGTAGTGTTTCTGGCACGTGCTCAAACTGGTAGTAATTGAGTGTTGGAAGTATAATATTTTGTGGGCTTTGTGGGGAGGTTTGGGCCCAGGCAGGCCTCAGATCGGTACCGATTAGCAGTGCCTGGTACTCGTTTCACATATGCGTTCGGGGGTCAGGCAGGCCCCTTGAACCGGGACCGACGAGTTTGTCTGGCTTGGTGTGAGATAATCCTCGCCGTTTAGTGGTAGCGGTAAATTTGAACTTTGACTGCGGTAGATTTGAACTTTGACTGCGGCAAATTTGAACTTTGACTGCGGTAGATTTGAAGTTTGACTGCGGTAGATTTGAACTTTGACTGCGGTGCGTTAAACTGCTAGTACCTCGGCCAGGGTTGGGAAATTATAGGAGGGAGGGGGGGGGAGGAACTGACAGTGGTCCCATTTTCCCCAATAAGTTTCGGAGGTCCCAGAGGCTTCTGCGAGGTCTTCCATGTGTTCATCCACCTCATCCTTACAATGTATGTTATGCCGTCTCTGTCGTCAAGGACAGAGACTGATTCTTAAGCCTTTTCTTATCCTTTCCTTTGCCTTCATCTTCATTCCACACTCCTTACTTTTCCTTGCTTTCTCTTTGGCGTCCTTTATTTTGTAAGTTTTGTCTTCTCTCCACCTCTCTTCTCTGTGTTTATCCCATCCCCCTTTACTTCGCCTCTTTCTCACAGCGTACAAGGGGGGGGGGGGTACTGAACACAGGAATGTGGCTGGCTAGCGCTCAACTTTATCGACGTGGCGAGCCTTGTACACTGGAGGCCCGGTGAAGCGGGGGGGAGGAGGGAGGGGGGGGTGTTAAAAGAAAGAATAAGGAAAATGAATGGTTTCAGTGTGCTCTTCATGTTTGTCTTGTGGGGGGGTTAAAAGAAAGAATGCGGAAAATGAATGGTTTCAGTGTGCTCTTCATGTTTGTCTTGTGTGTGTATTTTACTATTTTTCTTAATAATATTTTTATCGCTTGTTTTACAAAGTGCGGTCTTTTAAAAATTTAATTCATTGATATGACATTGTGACGTATATATATTCAGCCTCCTGTTGAGTCGGTGAAACTCCGACAAAACAGTTCGTCACAGCCCCTCATTTGTTGTTCTCTTCTCCCTCTCTGCCTACTGTTTACCGGGCAGCTCTGTTTGACTATATATATATATATATCTGTTTGTGACGATATATATATTATATCGTCAAACAGAACTGCCCGGTAAACCGTAGGCAGAGAGGGAGAAGAGGACAACAAACGAGGGGCTGTGTATATATATATATATATATATACCCTCGCCCCTCGTTTGTTGTCCTCTTCTCCCTCTCTGCCTACGGTTTACCGGGCAGTTCTATTTGACGATATATATATATATGACGATATATACCCTCTCTGCCTACGGTTTACCGGGCAGTTCTATTTGACGATATATATGACGATATATATGACGGTATATATATATATCGTCAAATAGAACTGCCCGGTAAACCGTAGGCAGAGAGGTATATATAAACTTCGACGAAACAGTTTGTCACAGCCCCTCGTTTGTTGTCCTCTTCTCTCTCTCTGCCTA